TTACTTGTACAGTGCAGACTCAGTGAAATCGATTTCGCAATCTATTATAAGACTGCCACTGACATTTGTACAGCAAGTAAAATGATCTGGGGCAATTTAAAATTCTCTACGTATACTCCGGTCACATTGTGATACTCTCCCTACATATATGAGGGATGATAAAAGGACTATATCCTGTCGTTAACAAAATATAAACGTCAGCATAAAATTACCATTTTAAATCATCGAAAAAAAATTACGGAAGCAATGTGACCACCCACCTCAGAAAATGGAATAGCCTTATTTATTATTCATTGGGTGTATGTGGGGTTGCAACCTACTGGTATTATTTCAGCTCTGATACAACGTCGAGTAGACGTCACGCGGGATTTGTTCGTGAGATTTTACTTACTCTGTGAACTGACCCTTGAACTGACATGTCTCTGAACTAATTATGAATGTCATCACTATCGTATCAATATAACGCACCGGTTAATTTCTAGATCGTTGTGTTAATGAAAAACTTCAAGGAGGTCTTCTTATGTATTTTCCTTATATATGCTAAAGTTTTGCACTTGGTGTGGTAAAATAAATATTCAAGCCTGTGACTTACGTTGTCGGTATTTGATTGTGATAGCTTTGAAGTTGCACCCCTGGGAAATCCTTTTCTCAGAACGTTACTTCTGACCCAAGGTGCCCAAATATCGACAAGGTTGATGAGTCTTTTATTTACACTTAGGAACGCCTAACATGAGAGTCCATTTCTATATACCAAATGAGCTTCGATGACCGCGTTAATTTCACTGGGGAGTCTTGAAACACATTGGTGCAACATATCCCGTCAATAGTGTGATACAGATCTGATATATAAGTGATTTAGTGTGTTTCATATTCTTTTAAATTTTTGTGTCAAATAATAATGACATGATAATGGAATGCTAGACTATATATGATATATTTCGTTTGGTATTTTATAACTCAAATTCAATTCAAGTCGGGACTAATGTAACGATAACAAATGAAAAACGTGATCAAATCTGAATTGCCTGTATTATTTAACCCCATCCGCTGTGAAGATAGTTTGTTTACTGCTGTGTGATAATTTGCACGAATGTACAAATGGTAAATATATCCGTGCCGTCTTAAGTTTCAACGATTCTCATTGTTGTTTGAATGCCACGGGCCTTTCCTTGCCCTGTTAAGAACTTTACTTTTAAAAGCAATTGCAACAAATTAAGGGAGTAAATCATAAAAATAACAAAAGCAGTCAGATGGTTGCGTTTCGTTAATTTTTGAATCGAACACTCTCGGTTGAACATTGTTCAATTATAATTCGCCTTTTCAAATATGTGTGTTGTAAATAATTGCAATAACTCGGGTCCCATCTACGTCCTGTTATATGATCATATTTGCACAATCACGTAATGTCACATATCAGGAAGTGAAAATAACACCGATACATAGGAAATAATCACAGAATGAAGCTGTGTTGGAAATAATAAGTACATATAAAACATGATAGCAATTATATCATCAAACACGCTATAAAAGAAAACATAGAGAACAACCAGTCAATCTCATTGTAGCTCCATTATAACATTTTGCTCCGTTTGAGGATTTGTATCTGATTACAAAATGCAGCGTGACACTCGAAATAAATTATTATAATTTAATGTCCGTTGCATCATTGCATCACGTGTTCACAACTAGTAGAAGGCATCAGCGGGATTTCGTTTGTAAAACCTCATCATAAAACACGAGAAATAAGGATACCAACTACGTCACTGCCTAAAGGTAACCAGGGCAGTTATAGTTTTAGAAGTATCGAATTAATTTGTAAATCCTCTGGCGCACAACGCGTATTCACTGCCCCGGTTACTTTGAATTCATCAGAGTTTTCACGCCAGAGCCCTTTAAACTATGGTAATTGTATTCCCTGTACATCCTGGGGCGTGGATTTCTTGTAATCCCGTTGGGTATATATTCCATGGCGTTACGTGGGCTAATTTGCATAAAGTTACACGGAACCCGGCATCGAGTGTGTAGCTATTAAATACCCCCGGCCATCGTGATAGTCCTTGTTATTCGATATTATCGCTTTGACACTCCCTGTAGTATTCTGAAATGTCGAACGTTATTTCGAATTGCAAAGTGCATTCGAAGGCAAATTTTACAGTGATTAGTTCAGTAACCAGAGTGGATTGGTTGATCATTGATTACTTCCTGTGCAATCACTAGAAAAGTATCAATTGTATAGTGAGGACATAATCTAGCAGTCATTTGTATTTTTAACGCATGTGTTTCTTTTCTAAACAGGTATGCCAGGAATGAAACATGTGTTACGATTGTTCTGGAATTAATGTGAGAGTAAAATCTTGTGAATAATTAAATGTTTATCATATCTATATAAGAAATATGTTAATAATGTTTGTTGTATGTAGGAAGAATTCTAAATTGGACCACGTCTATGTAAATTACAATAACCATGATTGTCCTTGAGATAGCTTGTTGTAATGAACATTCACGTAACAACCACTACACAAAATGTCATTGATTAAATTTTATTTTACAGCCTCGAAAAATATCACAATAATAGTAATCTTGTCGCAAAGGAACAGCATTACATATCGTATAAATTTACAACAGTATACAAATACCACCAAGGCGCCAATGAGTGTCGGTCTATTTCCCAGCAGGCCAGTCAACGTGCGGTTTTCGTAGATAAAATGCATTCATAAAATAAAATCACAAATAAAATAGTGTCGAAAATACTATCTGGATACACTGATATATCTCACATGGTTAAATATGTCATGTGAAAATATTCAATGTTTAATGTCTTTGTGAACATTCAATTTAAACTATAGCGAGCAAATTGTATTATAAATAATCTTGGAAATTACGATGATGAAAATTTGAGAAAAATACACCACAGGATGTAATGACCGAACAAGTATATATATTTGTATTTATTTCTCGTCCGCTGAATTAGTGTCTTCACCATAATACGAGTTTCTTGATAGGCATTCGGTCACTTCTTCCCATATGCCGTTCTCTGTAAACGAAAACGGAATCATTAAGCTATTGTCAACGTGGGGGCGTACTCTGTTTTGAAACAACGTGAAACACGGCAATTTCATGTAAAGTGAATATTGAGGGCGTTGCAAAATCAGGTTTTTATTTGACGACGCGATTTCAGTTAACTGGCTTTTCATACCTATCATGCTGGGTTTTCTTAAGAACGCTGAACTCCTCAAAATAAAATACGCTACTTTGATGCAGGGAAAAATAATTTGTTGAAGTTATTTTGGTCGAGCGAGCACAATAATACAGGTACGTACTATATAATCAATGCTCATGTGCATATGCTTCTAAAAATCAAAGAGCGGTTTACGTGTGATAAATCATAACTTCATAATAATCGATAAATCATAATGATCGAACAAACCAAGAATTATCTGTATTCCATAAGTATATTAGTAACCATCTTAATTAACTGACTACAAGCGGCGCATTTTGCTAATTTGTCTATATTTTTGCAAATACTGAAACCATACTTTATTTTATCTAGTGAATAATCACCGGGTATTATACTGAGACTATTATCACGTGTGAACTAAACCCAGCTCGCGTCCACGTGAAATTTGTGCAAGTATTATATTTCACTTAAATTGTGATAATTAAATAAACAAGGACATGATCAGTTTCAAGTTTATGATTATCTAAAGACAACTAACAACTTGAACACATAATGCACGTGATATGATACGTCATACATACCTCTCATCTCCATGTAGGTGAGCACATCCTTGATTATTGTTTCAAAGTCACTCTCTGTGTCATACTCAACCGAGGCTCGTTTACCAGTATCTGAAAATAAAATTTGCAACGTTACATAATAAGTAGGTCAGAGTATATGGCCTGGATTGTGTCAAGGCATTGCGCGACAACTTGCATTGTCCAGCACTGCGATTAGATCCCCAACAAGCCTACAGTGACGTTTTCTCATAGTACACAGTAGTGAAATCGATTTTTTTAATGAGTGGGTCACTCAACTTTGCGATGCTGGTAGTTGATAGAGTTAAAGCTTGTTATTATCTCACCCTGATAGAACTCTAGGGGAAGAGTAACATACGACCTGTCAAGTATAAAAAGTTCTATCGTTTTTTTCTTTTTTTTTGAAACTCTAGAAAATGTGTCGAGAACTACATTTTTGAAAATTAAATAAGGGGCCTCAAATCCTAATATTGTTATGTCAACGAGTTCTTCAAGTTTGGACCAAACTCGTCTACAATTACAATACAATTCATTTCCGACAGTATCTCATTCATATTCAGCAATATTTTCATTACACCCTCCCAAATGTGGCGCCCTCTAGCGACGAAACGCTTCAAAGACTTAGATGTATGAGGTGCGAATAGAAAACTCAGTTGTTTAGTCATGTAGTGATTAATAATGTAGTAAATCTCTCTAAAACTGAATTCTAATCGATGGGCAAAAGCATTCAAAACAATATAGAAGCAGTCAATGATGTCCTATACAATTGATTACAGCTCAAAAGAACGTTGTCTCTAGGGGGCGCTACTTATAAGAACGGGGAATTGAGACACCCCAGTTTTCAAATATGATACTCACAGTGTATTCAGCGTACGAGGGGTATCTCACTGAATATTCTTACAGGGTGTTCTTGGTTTAAGGTTTATAACAATTGCTATGTTTATTTATAGCAAACCTCTTTTATTGTTACGTGAGATGAATATGGTGCATATATTCCTTCTAGTAGTTTGTGTTTACATCGACTTACTTTTATTGAAAATGAATGGACTCCACCTCTTTCCTTGTCTTCTATGTTGACCTCCTGACACTGCAGATGAAATATAACGTGCTATATTAGACGCATTTAGAACAAATGAAACGCCTCTGCCAATAATGTATTTTACACGTGCTGCAAGCGTCGTATGAAACCCATATCGAACACGTAGCGACGACCAGCGTTCTTTAACAACTCTCAGAAAAAGAATCACTTATATTAAAGGTCCATTAATACGTTAAATACACTGAATATCCGAGAAGAGATCAATGATCATGTTTATTTTAAATCAACCATTTGTTGTTTGTTGAAAAAAAAATCATTACATGTTCAACTGCAGAGGGCGACTCATTTATGCGATTTCAAGTTGTCGATAGCGGGCACCTTAAATGATCGCAATTTATGATCGACTATATTAAATCTGCTGGTTTTCGATACTAGGTGACAATATACGCTTTCGTTTGAATGTCACCTATCCAACGATATTCATTGAGTAAGTCAGTATTCAAAGATATGGCATTACAACTATTCCGTACTTGAATGTCAACTAGTATACCGACAAGAGATAAATGAAACGCGTTTTTCTGTATATTACGTTACGTTTCTGAAAACATTGAAGTTTTTAATCAAAGTTATCCCATTTCCGCATTAATTATTGTTTTTGGACATCATGGTGACATCGTTGCGTTTATTCCAACACTGATAATTGGATCGAGTAACATTTTTAATTCACAGGCCGTTATTATTCTTTGTAGAGGCTGCATATTATAAGGGACGACGTCAAAAGATCGATGTTGGATAAAAAACGTATTTCCTTTAGTTTGGGGGTGGGGGGTTTTAAGCTCAAAAAGTTTCCATCCTACAAAAACGATTTTATTTTTTAATGAAGTCAAAAAAATCTTGTAGTATTTGTAGTTCGTTTTTTATCTATCTAATCATGGACAGAAATAACCGAAAAGGGAAAAAACAGATAAATGGTTTAGTTCGAGTGTAAATCTGTGCGTCAAATGAGGTGCATTTGTAAAATCTTGTTACACCCACCCGACAACCAACGTCTATGCAATACTACTGTCCGATCATG